TCATCGCTTGTAATTGTACAATATATGCAACACACTGTTGACTGTTAACAATAACAAGTAGCTCGATTACATATTCATCATTTGTATAAAACGCTATTGTATACTAAAACTTCTTTTAGTTTTATATTTGATACGGTAACACATTTCTGTCCCCAGACATTGTCGTACATAAAATATTTATGTATGGCGACAATGTTACGTCAAGTCATCATCTCCGCGCGAGAAACTATCGAGAGATCCGATTTCACGGAATAGCACTTATCGTATCACCGCGAGCATTAAAATATCGCCGACCACCGAGGGCGTGGACCGGGAGAGACGGAGCAGTCACAGCAATATTCGAGATTCGTTTAGTGGACGTTATTTCATCCGTCATCCAATCGGATGTTGTGCTGACGTCGCGGTAATTAAAAAGACTTCGTATTTATTTGACCGACGAGAGAGAGAGACGATACAAGAGAGTATCGCGCGATGATCCGCAGTGAAGTTTCGCGCGTCGAAGTCTCGCTCCATCAGCTATAATTCTCTATTCGCTGGAATGTACCTATTCTTGTCTTCTTTTTTTTTTTTTTTCAACGGGAGCGATTATACATCTCGTAAATCGCGGCGCGATGTTATTCCTCCGAGACCTTTGCGACGATTTATATTCGCGCGGACCAACGTTAAGAAGATCATCCTCTAGATGTTTTCTCTCTCTCTTTCTCTCTCTCTCTCTCTCTCTCTTGCTCTCTTCACGAGGTTGCGCTAAAAGTCCGGCCTATGGTTTTTGCGGGAGGATATTTTTATGTGCTACGCACTTCGGCACGCCATAATCGCCGGATGACTAAACGCGCAGTCGCGTGTAATTTTCGCTGAGCTGTCCCGAATATCTCTCTCTTCGAGACAAAGCATCCAGCTTCGTGCAGATATAACGTCGTTCGTTTTTTTTCTCGACTTCAAAATTCGACGCCAAAAAAAGAAACGATTGCTGCCGCGCGTCGTCATCAACCGCCAATTGTGCAAACAGGATAAATGTGATCAAGAAGTTCCAATCGGAATCAAAAATACACGAATTAAGAAACGATTCTGATATCGTTCTCACGCACGAGTTGTCGCAACAAAGTGTTTTCAAAAAGAACGAAAGAAATGGAATAATTTCGAGACATAAAACTCGAGAAAAAAATGTGTCATTTCATATATAAATGATAAAATAATTAAAAACGTGCGACAATTCCGAAATTCTTTTCGTACGAACCTTTTGTAAATTTCTGTTTGACATTTCGAACAACATATGATACGCACAATATAAGTCACTTCCGAAAGATGTATAGATCGCTTTCGAGAACGATCATCGTCGCGTAACCGTTCGAACGAGCTTTGTTTTAATTGGCGATCACTAATTGTTAATTATCAACGGTATCCACCCACGGAAACCTGACGTTAAGGAGCTTACGGCCATTTACACGGGACGGGAGGACCCGCCTCCGCAACAAACGTTACACCGATCGTAAGGAGGTGCGCACGTCAGTTTACAACGTTATAACACCACAAGGCAGGTGTGCATATGTAATTCCGTATGGATGCCTCTTCCTCCTCCTCTACGAGACAGCACGTGAAAAGAGACCAGAGATCCGCGACGGTTTACATTATTTATTAGATGTGTCCCCGACGCATCGAGAAAGAGAGAGAGAGAGAGAAAGAACGAGAAAGAGAGAGTGAACACAAACGACTGCATAATGAACAATTAGCCGGCTGATACGCGTTACGTGATAGTGTTTTTTAATGAGCTATTTACGTCGGCGAGAGACGCGTGTTTTTTTTTTTCGTTGATTTACAAATTTATTGCAAATGCATTTTTATATACATTACCGAATTTCGAAAGAAAGATTCATCACGAAACGATATTCTCTTCGAGTCACAAGACACTTTTAATCGCGCAAATATTGACATTGCTTTATCAACGATATTGAACGCTACTGAGCCGACAAAAAAAATATGAAACTTCGTTAGAGTTCGTCAGTGGAAAGATACGCGCGAGAGTATAGAGTTCTTAATTACACAGTCTTGTTTTGGTTCACAGAGTCGTGCAAAAGTGGCGATAACAATTACCGCGAATCCTATATCCGCAAAGGTATTAAAGAAAAACGCAATTATTAACTATTAATACCCACTATCCTCAATGACATCTGGCGACAGATGTGTGTTACAAATTTAGGAGACACAAAGAACTCGTCGTCTCTGTGTACAAGGAACAATAGTTCGCCGCGAGGACAATGAGAGCAGGCGCGCGCGCGAGTTTCCTTTTCTCAACTATACATATATTGCTGTACCCAAACGTCGACTCACTCGACGAGAATGTGATCACTCGAGAGCCGATGTAGAGAGTCAGAATCCCTGCCGCAAAAGGATCAAATCTACGGAATCGACCGCTCCCCCGCTTCTCTCGAAACACCCGATAGAGAAAATATCGTGTGCGTGTCTCCGTCTCCGGGGGGAAGGAAGAACCGAGTCACTTCTCGAGAATGTGATTTAAGTCCGCATAAAAGACGACGTCGCGCAGAATTACAAGCGACACGGCAGTTCCGTCCGTCGATACGCCGACAGGAACGAGAACCTTCCTCCCTCTCACCCGCGCCATCGTCGTGTAGAGAATATCGAACGATCGCCTTGCGTTCTTCGCGCGTCCATTTCGACGTAGCTCGGACGCGAATTGCAACAAGATAAACTCGCATTCCTCGTAAACGTGAAATAGTTGCAGGATTGAACAAATAAAAGATGATAGAAAAAAAAATTATGAGACGCTGCGCGAAAAGAACTCCCCGCGAATCAGAATTGACATGTCACGAGAACGTCGCCAGAACGATCTTTCCTTCGAAATAATCTCTGCACCGAGGAAATCTAAGAAACATGAATAGGGATTTAAGTTCAAAACGACACGGCGGCGAGGAGCAATCCGCATGAACGAGGCCGGGATTACGTAATGGCTCGCCTTACGATTACAGTTATCGAGACGGAAATCTATGAAAATCCCCGATGTTAACCGCGGGAACCAGTCCTGAGAAGCTGCTGCTGACATCGTTCCCCGAGCCGAATCCTACGTATCTTCCAAATGGGTTGAAGTGTTCTACAATATTTGAAATTATTATATTCTCGAGTTTGGCGCGGACTTTAAGCTCGCGTATCTTATTTGCTCTTGCTTTCTTCCATGCCGTTTCAATGTAACGATTTTAATTAAAAAATTGCTACGTAACAGTTTTGTTTTAAGTCTTTTTCTCTAAGCTCTTGTAACAACTTTATTTAAATACAAAAGCGATTAGATCTTACTGTAACTGCGATAAACAGAACGACGCAGTCACAGACGCGTGTGTGATGTTATCGCAAGTACTTTAACGATCTCACGATCTAATTAATATAATTGTGCCGCTGAGGATGCGCATGAAAATGCTCCTCTCCTCGCTCGAGAGTGCGCGAGCGAAAAAGCCGCTCCTATTTATTTGCAATTCTCGTCGCGAGATACACCTGCAAGCATTAACTGCGACCGTGATCAATTAATTCCCATTAATTGCGAGAGAGACAAGATACATACGGCCGATGAGTTATGATTGAATCGCGATAACGGACTGTATCCGCTTACAGTAAATTAACCGGATGCTCGACCGCGACGATGCGTTGTCCCACTCTGTGTCGCGAAAAGAATTTTCAATTATCGACGACGGATACATATCGACGAACGTACGGGCGCGACATAATCGGATTCATCGCGCGTCGGATTGATGTAATATTTCTCTCAGACTTGCTTCCCTACGTATATTTTTCTTAACGTGTACCTCTCTCTCTCTCTCTCTCTCTCTCTCTCTCTCTTTCTTTCTCGATATTTCGCTCGCGATAAGAAAATCTATTTCTCACGCGCGAGATGACATTTGAGAGATAAATTATTACAAAGGTGGGATATTTTATACGTAAAAAGTACACACAAAGGGACATTGACACAGAGAAGAGGAAGACGGGAGATTCTTGGAATTCCATGGAAATATTCTTTCACAGGTGGCGACGGTGGATGCGACGTTTCCCCTTCGTGTGTGTCTTTCGTATGCAACTGTGACCACCGCCTAATACGCGGCGCGACAGCACATACTAATTAGCCCTGCGAGCGAAACGCGCCATGAATACAACTTCACCAGGAGGAAGAGAGAGAGAGAGACAAACATTGAAGATATGCGAGAGCCCGAGGTTTGAGAGTTCGGGAACTAAACCTCCGGAGAGATACTTTCAAGGACCAAAATATTCGCTTGTTGTTTGTCGTGAAAAATACCCGGTGAGAAACGGATCGCGGAACGACAACAAAGGATCTTTCTTGACAAATTGTAGAAGAAACATTCTATTATTTAGTTTTTCCTAAAATAATAAAAGATATGAAAACATAAACCCACGCTGGTTCAAAATCTCGTATTAACGTTACATCAATGAAACCGGAGTTTAGAAAATAATCTTGAAAAAGATCTAAAATTTCTGTGTTAACAAACAAAAAAACAAATTTTCTTTTTAATGGCCGTCCCTTATTGCTCATCTATTCGAAATCCTATTCCTTTCTTACAGTTGCCAGGACTAATTTTTCTTCGCTGCGGGATATCGACCCGCAAATTTTTTTGAGACCCGAGACGAACACGTGCTTTAATGTGAAACATACGCTTGACGGACGTGATTAACACAATATTAGGAATTCGAAGGGTCCCAGTGTGAAAGAAGAGTCTTCGAAATCTTATTATCAATTAACGCGTCCTTACGTCGCGCTATCTGATCTGAATGCGCGACGCGCATGTGTTCTTGAGACCCGTAAAAATACTCACATCGGCAATTTAAATCAGCTTGTTTCAATAAACGAGCAATGAGAATAATCATACTGTGGAATCTCGCCGCTTATCTCATTGTTCCCGGCAACAGATTGAAAGAGCTCGTATTCTCACGCCACTCACTCTATCATGTTACATGTACACCGCTTTCGATTCTTTTCATATATTTACCCCGCTTTCTTGCCCCCCGTATTGTTTCCAGTAATTGGGCGACGAGCCGAGTTGCATCATCGAACCGGTTCCGGACAAACCGCTCGGACTGGACTCCTGAAATCGATCTGCCGCGTTCTGCATCTGTCCAAGCTGATTCGGACTGTGCCGACTACCGTTGGCCGTTATCAGCGATGAGCTGCTGGCTCTGGAATGACCGCACGTGACGACCTGCAGCAGGTTCGAACCGCCTTTCGCGAGACCCGCGTTCATCGTAACCTGCTGCACGTGCGTGTTGTTCTCGACGTACCGCTGATGGCCGATGCCACCACGCCGAATCTTGTACTGACCGCAAGCGGCGACTTTCGATTCCTGACCGGGTTTCACGTCGATTCCGAAGTCGCTCAGCTTGAAGTTCTGTTGATTCATCTTGAAGTCCGCGTTATTTTTAAAGCTCCGATCCATCTCGACTCTGGAGAAAATCAATCTCGGCGCGGATTATCTCCTATCTCTTTTCTCGTCACTTGATCAATTTCGATACTCAACAGACGCGCACGTATTGGCGCGATAAATAAATGTTGAAATATTAAAAAAAACGCGATTAAAGTTTTAATTTCAAAACTGACACTTATCTAAAAGCTATTCATCTAGATAAAATCACAGGTTCTTGTAAAATCACTTGAAACGTTTTGTTACTGCGCGCAACTCGTCTTCGTGATTAACTTTTTCTACAGAGCGAGATTCTTCGGTTGGCAAGCGCGCGCGCTGAGTGAAATAGGAGGTGAAATTAATTGCAGAGAGGCGGCGCAGTTTGTGCGGTGATACGTTTGACAATTTACCACCAATCACGCGTCGCTCGTCGCCTTGACATGGATCCGGTCCAGCGTGCGTAAAGTTTCTTGCAAGATGCGATTTTATACACGTCACGGACGACGTGTATTCCGGACCGGGACCGCTCTTGAATGTCTTCCAATGTACAAGCGCGAGTCGAATTTTCACTCATCTGGCATGCTTTCCTGGTTGGCGCGGATTCTGTCACCGTCCAAATAGCAACCGTAGTAAACGACCTTGTGACGGGTGTCACGAGAAGCAACACGGCCGCTATTTATCACAGATACATCGGACGACAAATTAACGTTCGTCAAATAAACACATTCGGCGAAACCTGAGAACTCGCCTATAATCGAAGACCGACGCGATGCAATTATCGCGCGAATCGAATCAAGGCGCAACGTTCCGTTACACTCTTTAGTTCGCGAACTGAAGCCGGCGATAATCGTTAATCACCAGTGAAAGTTGCGGCGCGAAACGTTCGAGTTTCGCGATGGAAAAATCGTCCTCTGAATTTTTACCTCGCGAAACGAGGCGGCAAAGTTTCGCGGCGCGATTCGAGTCGACGACGGGATTCATCGTCGACGATAACGATCGCCATTGGCGCGTTCAATGTCACTGATAACGATTATATATTTATTAAACAAATCACTCATTCACACCATATATTGATACTTTTCTAAGTAGAGTGTTTTGAAAAGTTCACTTTTTTTTCCACACACGTACTTCGACTATTAAACGTATCGTAACGTTTCATCGGAAACAAGAAGATCCTTTATATAAATCGGATCGATCGTGTTGCTCGGTTTTCACGGGACCGATCGAATCTCTCGTAAACGCGCGACTCGCATCGACGCGCGAGCGCAATTGCATCACACAGTGTCACACACGAGACTGTCACACGAGTTCGCAAGCGCAGCGGTCCACTCATCCGATCAACTCTCTCGTCTATTCACACATCGAGGATTTTTTTTTTTTTTCAGCGCATGGTATTTCCAAATAGCGGATCACTAATGCCCACGTATACGCGCACATACGCGTGACGTCCCACGGCGGAAACAATCGAGGTGAGAGGGACAGAGAAAGAAAGAGAGAGAAAGAGAGAAGATTAGAAGCCAACGGCCAGCTGGTTAGCCAGTAGAGAGACGACTGGTTTTGTGTTACCCGACTCGTAGGCTACACACCGCACACGGCACGGAGGAGGCTGGGGTCCAGCAAACCCCTCCACTAGCATACACAGCAAGTGTGCTTGTCCCCCCCGTAGCACGCACGTACGTAGAAGTTTCGAATGCGTGTGTGCGTTCCGATGCACTCTTGTTCCTTGCGTTTGTGGATGTGTGCGCTTTTCTCTCTTTTTTCTCTCTTTGTCTTTTCTCTTTCTTTTTCTACGAGAAGCTCAACAGTCTCGTTTCGCGCGCCTATGACAGAGATGCAGACGGAGCAACTGCAAGCGTTGCACTCCTCGTGAGAGTCGAGTAACGTCTACGTGCTAAAAAAAATCGTGGGAATTAAGATAAAGACACGAGCGAAGAAAACCGAGAGCGCCATACACGTCGTCTGTGCAAATGTCATATTCAGCAATGAATATTCTTTTAATGTGTGCGCAACTGCGTTATTAAAACTGAAGAAGATATATATAGAATATTGAATTGCGGAAATTATTACTGATTTTATACGCGCGATACATTTCGAATATTAATTAAGAGGATTTATGTGTACGCGCGGCTATTGATCTCTCGTTCAGCGGTTTTAGACGTAAGCACAGTCGATCGGGTTACACACACACACACAAAGAGAGAGAGAGAGAGAGAGTCAAACTGCGAAAGTGTAATGTAACGTTTCAGATAACGGCTAATTCTGTGTAATAGCGCAACGTTCACTCGATAATAATGTAGATCATAGAAAAGCACAAACGCAGACGGATATATTGATTCGAGGGGACGAGCGAACTGTTTACAACGGTTGTCTATCTGCCCCTCGTCGTTTGCCACGTCGGATCATTAATCGTCGGATCGATGCGATATCTTAATCGCTTATATTACTTTTTGATTTTTTTCTGCGAAAGGTCAAATACCTCGGAGAAGCGTCGAGCATTACTCTCGAGAGAACCCATCAGTCGTGTTTGCGATAACTATCGATTCGCGGTCCGCACGATTTGCCGGGATTTGCGAAACGTTTAATTCTCAATAGTTCGCCTTATCAAAAATCGGCAAAAAAATTTGCCTTACCCCTTCTGTGCTGCGCTTGGAATAACTTCTACCTAGCTAAATTGTTTCCTATAAATGCCCATGTCGAGCGACGAGTAAAAGTTGCTGGTCGTAAAATCGAGAGAGCGCTAAAATTTCAAATTGAAATAATGAAAAACTAAATCTCCTTTAATAAATTAAAAGAGAAAAACAAGTTTCTTATAGTTTTGTTATTAATTCGCTATTTAATCTCGTAAAACAGCAAGCCCGCGTTGTTCACCAACAAACCACACACACACACATAAGCACATGACCGTACGCGCGCTCTCTCGAAGCTTCGAAGATGCAGTTGCATTCCGCCGCATCGCGCGCCGTTGCATCTCTTTCTCTTTCCATCTCTCGTTGCGCACCGTCGCGGGAATACAGAAATAGTTTATCCGCGGAGGGATTTCAGGAGAGGAGGTCGAATAGAAAGAGAAACACAGAAACGACCAGAAGGAGAAGAAGAAACAGAGGAAAAGAGAACAGAAATGGAGAGAGAGAGAGAGAGAGAGAGAGATCGCGAGAGAGAAAATACGAACGGGAGTTACGAGTTACAGCGGAAAACGGTGGATTATGTGTGTTTAACCCTCCCCGGCCTTCTGCTCTCCTTTTCCACCCCGCTCGCTCGTCGTCGTCGCACAAACGCGCTTCCGAAAGCTCCCGAGTTATGTTTGAGCACGAAAAGTAAACTTCGACTTCGTGGCGACGTGAGGCGCTTTGTGAGGATTAGGTGGCCGCCACCGGGTGAATCGATTCCTTTGTTCCGACTTCCGCGGCGGCACGGAATTGATTCTCCGCCGGAATCCGCTTCGTTGCATCGGCGGACAAGCGTCAAGGTCCGAGACGGACCTTCACTCTCTCTTGTGCATGCGAATATTTATAAATATTTTGAAGACACTCTGGAAATTGTGAGAAAAATAAAAAAGAGAGAGAGAGAGAGAGAGAGAGAGAGAGAAAGAGGGGGAGAATCGATTTGTAGTAAACAAAGCCGAGTAACACACGGTTTTTAATTGCTAATTATTTATACAGACTTAGAAAATATTTTTCAGCTCACGTCGGGTAATCAGTCATCGCTCGTTTTAATTGAGTCCCTCTGGAAATTCGACGCGGATAGCGAAACAATTTAAAAATAACTCTCGAGCATCCGAGAAAAGGCTGATGAGCCACAGTAACCCCAAAGTGTTCATTATTTCGGGAACCGCGCGGAGGCGTTCGAGATCTCTCCCGACGCGCGATGCGCACTCGATGCTAAAAAAGACGCGCGAGTGCAATTAAAAGGTCAAACGAAGCCACGTTCCGCGACGGCGATTTCAGGCTTCCGCGGCGACCCGAGCTATTCGTCGACGCGAAGTGGAAGCGGGAAGGTAATACCCGAGGAAAAACCAGCCGACACGTGCAACAGGTAGAGGGAAGTCCACGCCAGAGGCTCGGTGCAAGTCCGAGAGCAGCAGGCTGCGAACACCGCGAGTGCGGTGACGGATCAGCGACGGAGATCGACGCGAGATCGCTTTCAGCAAGATTTAAGTCAAGGTGAACACTACGAGGGAGACCCGACACTCTGTGGGGAGGTCGACTGTGTAACAAGGGACAATTGCGGCAGTCACGATAATTGTCTCGTCGTGTCGCTATATTCCTTTCCGTAAAACCATTAACATCGACGTGATAATAACGGAAATAAAAATTGAGAACAACTTCAAAGCACACTATAACACACTCTTATTCTATGAATACATTATCGTTGTGTGCGCGAAGATCGCGATGTCTCGCATTGGCCCCTTTCAAATTTTTCTCAAAGTCTTCAAAAATGTTTGAGTGCAAAAAAGTTACATATCTCGAATTTGATAAACGTACGAATGAGATCTTTTTTTCGGAGAAAAACAAGAGAGAGATCTCTCTTGCATGATCTAATATAATAACATTTGAATATACGCGTGTAAGGCTCAAGTCCCCCATGATGTATAGAATTAAACATCGCAATTTTACGGTTCAGTGACATAATGGATATCGTGCGTATTCCCATTGCCTTTTCCGCTATCTGTATAATGGAGATACTAATCGCGCAATCGGTGCGGTAACGCGTACAGGTAACGAGTAGGTGGTTCAACGTCAATCTGGATCAGATCGCGAAGTGAAGTGCGGTAGCGAATCGAACAACGAGGCGAGAGCGGAGCGAGCGAATGAACGAACAAACGAGCGATATGCAACCAGCGTGCGTCGATCAATGCTTGTGTCTTGCCGGTTGCTCAACAAAACTGGCAACTTTTACCGCGCTCTGCCCGCGAAGTGCCTAATCACACCTTCACCTAGATATCTCGATGATTACGCGACGACAACGACGACGTGTCCTTTCAAATCGAGCGAGGCGCGATAATTCAACTACACGTCGACAGGTTGAACCTTCTTTCTCAATCCGTCGCGAATTGTGATAACAAAGTTGAAACCGGTTCCCGATAGATCAAAAATGTATTGTAACACAAATTGTGCATAGTGCACGCATGCCTAGTTGGTGCGTGGACAATGTTTTGAATCTTTACATACGCAGAATAAAAAATTTAAAACTATTTGCGCAATTTTTTAAAACAATTTATATGATATATATGTTTCGCAGTTAAATTATTTGTCGCATATTTCTTTTTTCACTATATGTTCCTTCGCAAATTCTAGTTTTGATCGTAATCAAACGATCGTTAAGCGTAAATGCTCGATCGGAGCGCGAGATTACAGATTCGCGATCGCGCGAAATTAGCACGAGAGATCGGCCGACACTCACGATCGGATAAAATCTCGATTCTCTCCCTTACGAGATGAACACAAAATTTATATATCGCGAATGCGTTCAGCGGAAAAAGAGAAGAGGTAATGAAAAAAAGCGCCTCATTCTCTCTCTTTCTCTGGGTGGTTCAAAGACCGTCTAAGCGTATGCGACTCGGTCGTCCCCGCATGATTATGGTCCCATTCATGTGCGACCAGTTCGGTTCGGTTTCTTCTCCGCACCGATTTCAATCTAAACCCGTGTGTGCGTTACATATAGGCGCGCGGCGTAACGTATCGTCGTCGTTCCCGTCGAGTTGCAAATGCAGCTCTACTTGGAACAGGCGGAACGAGAACGTTCACTTTTAACGAGGCGGACTGCGCCGCGCGGAATGATCGAGCATAAAGATCGCATTGCGAAACGTTTCTCCTTCTCTCTCTCTCTCTCTCTCAAGAAAGGAGGAAGTCCCGAGATTAATCTGAACGATGGATTTGTACAAAGAGGAATTACATAACGATCTTCCAGTAATAGAATCTCTTCATTCTGTGCGATATTTACGTAAAAAAATCGAGAAGAGTTAAAAAGACAGAATCTTGTTTTCGATCTCGATGGGAAATTTAAGTTGCTTAATTGCGCGGAGACTTTGCAATTCGCGAATAAAAAGAGGAGAAAAAAACCACGATTAAACGGCGAAAGGGCGTGTTCGATACGTACATTTTCCATCAGTGCTGTACCGGTTTTAAAGGACTGGCGAAGGAGACGGTCGGAGCAAGGAGAGTATCGCACACGCACACGCACACGCACAGGTACGGACGTGGGTAGCCGTGATGAAGGTGCGCGAAAGATAAAGAGAGAAAGAAAAGAGAGAGAGAGAGAGAGAGAGAGAAAGAGAGGTGGACTAGCCACTGAAGAGTAAACTGGCCAGACTGCCTGCCGCCGACACAGCGCAATGCTGTTAGAAAGAGAGGCGCGAGGGAGACAGAGACAGCGAGACGAGGACAGGAGGAAGAAATTGATAGCCAGGATCGAACAAGCGAGTAGGACGAGACGACGTTGCCCGAGAGATACACTACGCGTTGACGGCAGTTCTTTTCCCGGTAGAATGCACCGCGCGCTGCGCACGGCCTGTCTGCGATTTTTGTATCCAATGTAATAATA